AGCAACTTAGTGAGACTGTTTCTTAAAATTTTTAAAAATAAAATAAAAGAGGGTTGAGATGTAACTCAGTGGTACAGTGCCCCTGTGTCCAATCCCCACTACTGCCACAAAAGGCGCGGGCTGGGGTTGTGACTCAGTGGCAGAGTGCATGCCTTGCACATGTGAGGCACTGGGTTCAATACTCAGCACCACATAAAAATAAGTAAAATAAAGATACTGTGTCCATGTATAACTAAAAAATATTTTTTTAAAAAAATGGTTCTTAGTTTCAGGAAGTTTACAGTACATCAACTGTGCCAGTCAGTGATGTCTATGATCATGGGAAAGTCACCTGACACTTTGGGCCTCAACTATACCAAATGTTAATTGTTTGGCAACAAATGAAAGCAGAGTATAAGGGTATTCAAAGAACAAACTTATGTGAACTTGCTCCACAAAGGCTGTTTAAATATAACTGTTTGCTTAATATTGATGTTTTCTACCACTGATACCACAAATCACTTATTCTATACCGAGTGCTAGCTAGGAGGCATGGGAATCTTGGCTTCTTACTGCTCTCAATAGCCCCACCACCATCAGTCCCAGAGAAGGCTCCAGAAAGTCCAAGGACCCTTGGACCAATTGAAGTTGTTGGGTCTTCCATGAGTCATGGTGAAATATCAGGTCATACCAAGTTAAACAGGGTTCTTCACCCATTCATTTAGCCACATATTCATCAAGTGCCCTGTGTTTGTGGAATTCCCTGGAGGAAAAGCCAGGAGCAACATTTAAAATTTGACTTTACTGATTTGGGTAGGAGCTTAAAGAAAAGTGTCCTCAGATAGAGCTACACCAGAAAAGATTTCCATTGGTTCAGCTGGTCCTCTGTAAGGAAGTGGGACTTTGGCTGACACTTAAATAACAAGAAATTACCCATACAGAGAAATAGGGTATACCAAGCACAAGAAACCTTACAAACACTCCAAAGTTGAGGAAATGCTATGTGTGTTCAGGAGCTGCACTTCTCATGAGCTTGGTTTTCAGAATACCTGAACAGGTTCTGTGAATTCTACCAGGACACACTCACCTCAGACTTCCACAGACAGGCAAGTCAGTTGTGTGTTCAAACTGAAAGGAGATGATGTGAAAATCTGATTTTTAAATGACTAAATTCAACAATGATAATCACCTACATTCTTATTTCAAAGATAGGGGAAATGGGGAGAGGTGCAAATTGCAGGACACTGCTTTCACTGGTCATCAATAAATGTACCATGAGAGTCTGACCTGAAGTAAGAATTATTATTTAGTAGCAGAAAAGCATCATACGCTCCTTTATATTTAGATTTTAGCATCTAATTATATATTCCCATTTTTCTTTTGTTCTGGGAAAATTCCCATAATTTACCTGATTTCTTCTATGGTTTCTGAATGAATATGTAGATAAATGCACAGGAAAATACTGGATTTTTTTTTACCTTTAAGATATTTCCTAGATTCTTAAATAATTGTAACTCATCTTCTGCATTATACATCCAACTGGTTAACTTACAGATTACTTAGACATTCATATAAGTGAAAGGCAGTTTTTAATTAAAGACAAAAAACAAAAACAGGATCCTAGGGGCTGGGGTTGTGGCTCTGTGGTAGAGCCCACTTGCCTAGCACATGTGAGGCACTGGGTTCAATCCTCAGTGCCACACAAAAGTGAAATAGAGGTATTATGTCCACCTCTAACTCAAAAATATACCAAAAACATGACATTAAAAAAAAAAACAGGATCCTTAACAAATATGCCAGTCTTTTCAATGAATCTCTGTCATCTTCCATTTTCTTTTAAGAACCTCTTCAAAAACAAAAATCATAGCTTTCAAATGGTTTTGAGAATGGCCTAATCCTCATTTTCTTCCATGGCCAAAAACTCAGAATCAGATTATGCATCTGCTATTTTTCCACATTCAAAACTATTTCTGAAGGCCAGCGTAACTGTATATACATAAGGGATGTAGGTTTGGGCCCAGGGAGAGTTAAATTAATATCCTGGCTTGACCAGTTCAACTTACCGTACATCTTCATTTGCCCAGTAACACAATCTATAGCCAACTGCTAACCAAGTCAATATGTGGTAAGACTAACAGCCACCCTAACTTGCCTTGATAATTATTCTCCTTTAACTGACATAATATTCAATATACTGTTGTTGAGAGCAATAATGTTAAAATTGATGCCTTGAGGGCTACAAGACAATTGAGTTTTAGCCAGATAAAATGACTTGTACACTAATAGTGCATTATAGGGTTTCATGGCCTTCAGATGCACATTTTATAGTCTACCTGCACAAAAATGCCATATATAATTATATTCAAAGTCATTTGTGCATACCTTATCATTAGCACATATAATTTTTAAAGTATTGGCTAATAATCAAGTAACAGCTTTAGAAGAAAGGGTTTATTTTTATAGTCTAACTCTTTTTTCTTTTTGAAAATGAGTGTTTTCTCACTAAATGATTGAAAATGGTTTTATGTCCTACAACCTTTTACTTTTTTTCTAACCCAAGCACCATTTCCACAAGGAACAAGCATATTATAAATGTGGAATGACAAAAAGCATCATTTAAATAAAATCTATATTTCATCAATTCTATCAATAAAACAAGACAGAAACTAACTTGGAGTTCCTCTAATAAAAAAAAAATCTGATTTTCTGAAAATGTCAATTGTAGACTCTGAAGAACTATTTATATTAAATTTGAGATTTGTAAAAATTTCTATTAATTATAATTTAAGCATCACAATAAATGACAGTGTTCTTTATATATAATATTTTACTCCCAAATGAAAGACTTTATATATGTTTGTTGTTTTTGCTGAATTTTTCTTTCACACTTAATTTCATTTGTAATTTTTTATCTTGAAATTTTGGGCTTTCATTCCAAATAGAAATACAGAGTACATTTTAAAGTACATTTTCTACACTTGACTTAAAGATATGTTGAGATAAAATTAATACCTAAGTAATTATTTAAAGAAAAAAACAAAACCTCTAGTGAAGGCAGGACAGTAGTACCCTACCATAGAAAAACCAGCAGGTTCTATATGGCTGTCAAAATGCTATAGCAAGGTGCTACAGGGTTGTTTTTTAAAGTAAATTTGCAGAGCCATGCACGGATCTAACTGTTCGAACAGAATGACACAATGCATATGCTCCCGCTATCTTAGGCAAAAGGTACATGTGGAACTGACACACAGCACTGATGATACAAGCAGGCATCAGAGTGGAGACAGTGAACATGGTACCCGATTGGAGCAAAAATACTTACAGGTTTTGAATAAAGGAAAGACAGACTGCATTTAAACATCCCTAAGACATTTCTTTCTTCTTGCATGATAAAATTCTTTCAGACATTAGCAATCACGTTGTAGAAATGACTGTAGAAGGATGTGGCACTGTACAGGTCTCAGAGCCAGTATAAGTAGGGATTGTGAATGAAATTGGTCTATGCCTTATTTTTCCTGGCCCCTTCCTCCTGGACCTCATACCCCTTCATCTCCCTCTCCACCCAGGACTTATCTACTCATAATGCCCCCCCATCCTGGGGCAAATGAAATAATGGTGTGAATGTGCACTATAAACTGAAAATGTAAAATGTAATAATTATTATTATCACCCTCAACTCATCAGACTTTCTGAGGGTCAAAGTTTCTATGCTTTTCAAGTTGAGGTGCCCACTAAACAAAGATACGACTTTATTCAGAGAGTTGACAGGTTATGTCACTTTCTCTTTCTCCACTTCTCTTCACCAACCCTCTTCTGCTCTCCTGTCCTGGCTAAAACCCAGAGGTGCCACACGGGAGAAATGACAGGAATTGGTGTGTTCCGATGACAGGTTAAATCAAGGAGAAGTCTTGAGCTCCCCACCCAAGCTGGCAGCCAGGGCCTTACATGTAACACAGGGTGGTTTAGGTCATAAACATCGTGAATTACCTCTGGCACTACACAATCCTTGCATAGTCAAAAACAATTTTTGTGTATGTGATACCAATCCTACTGGTAATATCTCCAAAGGAAATTACAAAAACCACTTCAGATTCTACCTTCTCAAACTGAGATCTCCTTCAACAGGGGATGGTGCTTCTTCATCATCCAGGGTTGTACTTTTGGGTCCAGGGTGTCCCAACATGCTGTTCTCAACATTTACCCCTCAAGGATTGTAGGAAGGCAGAGGGCCATAAAACATTTCAGAGGCAAAGTACACATTGCAAAATGACCCATGACATACTGAAAAAAATAAAAGATGAAGAAAGATGGAGAGGGGGTCCTGGAAGGGATGAAAGGTGGAGGCTGTGGGCCTCCCAGGTAAGCCTGAAGGCCCTGACCAGATCAAAGGTGTCAGTGACACAAAGCAGAGGCTCCTGGCTGGAAGAAGAACAGGTACTGTAAAGACCAAGTCTGTGATCATGTTTTAGAATGTGAAACTTAGAAGGCTATGATGTGAGGGTTGTCTAGTTACACACAGCAGGGAGTTCACATAGGTCACGGTTCCTCCTTTGATTTGGATACAGAAACAATAAATAGTGAGGGTACGTGACAATCAATAAAAACACCAAGCGGCCTGAGTGTGAGGAAAAACCCTGACTAAACTCAGATGGAGTACAATCCTGGATTTTTATACGCCCACCATCCACCTCAAAGATCCTATTCTATTAATAAGGGCTCTTACAAGACTTACTCCAGAAACAAGAAAGTCCACTTTATAGGCAGAAAGGGTTGAATTCAAAAGATACAAAGGAACACTAGTCAACAGACCCCCCTTTTCCCCTTTCTAATACACACTACTGAGGTGTAGTGGTGCCTTCTGGACTGCCATCTTGCTTCCAATGTCCTGAACAGTCTGCTGACCAGAGGAGGGTGTTTGTACCTGGGTTTGTGAGGAAGAGGAAGGAGACCAAGCACACCCAGGGCTCTTACACAACCCTCCAAGAGCTGGTCCAGACACTGGCATTCAGGCCCTCCCCTACCTGAAGGATGTATCCCCGGACGTAGTCCCTCAGAGTCCAGCCCAGGCCATGCAGTATGTGCAGCACTTCCTCTTGCTTCAGGACACTGAAGAGCCGGTCCAGCAGAATCTTTAGTCGCACAGGCACTGCCTGCGTCCCGTAGAGCATCAGGCTGCTGATGTCAAACACCACGTTGGACTGCACAATCTCCACTTGGGTGGGGTGGTACAGGTGCTGCGTGCTGAGCTTATCCAAGGCTGCAGTCGTCCCACCAATGTTCCAGAGGGAGGGGTGGGAATAAAGAGATGAAAAGGACAGAGGAGTTAGATACACAACTGAATGTCATCAGGGCTCCGTTTCTATAGACAATCACAACCATGGATGTCTAAGTGATATTTCCTCTCCTCCTCAATTTTGCTATCTTTCTTTTTTGGATTTGGTGTTCATACATTGCAGACAACAGTAAACAGCAAACACATTCAACTTTCAGAAAGAGAGTCACTAAGAATGTTTTGAAATGACCGGGGCTGGCTCTACAAACCTGAGTGATTAATTTGTCAGCCAAATCACAGCTCAACTCAGGTTTCTGTTGTGTCTACTATTTCTTCAGAAAAAAGGAAAATTATTCCTAACTCATGCTTCAGTAAGAGGAGCCTAACTAATACCATTTTTTTTTAAAAAAATGAGATTCACCTAAATGGTTTAAAGGGGAGGATGAGTGTATTCCTAGGAATAAAAGGAAAGTTAACACCTATGTGGAAGGCTAGAAATTTAACTCAAACTAGCTAAGGGAGATGACCTGAAAACTTAAAGCTTTCCCAATTTCTCTCTTATTCCCCTGTTAGATAGTTTTTTTCTTCACTGGCATGATCTCTGGGAGTTATTTATGGAAAATATTCAAGTCATAATTTAGTCACTTTCTTAACAATTGTGACAAGACTGTCAGATGATAATGAAAACAAATGAGTAAAAATAAAAATCTGGGAAATCCAGCTAACTGCATTAATAATTCTCAACAGAGAAAACTGAGGATGATCATTCTTCAAATAAGTATTTCAATGAAACTAATAGTTCAACAATGGGGCTTTCCTCTTCTAATATCTAAGAAATGACATTTCTCCCTTAGGAGGAAAAAAAAAAGCCTTATTAAGTTAAGGTCGTAAATTCTAGTTCTAACCCACATCTGAGTTACAGGAAACCCTACTCCTTATAAATACGATTCATTTTGCCTCAGTTTCTCCAGGGTGAGTGACTAAGATTATACCATATCAACTACGGGACTTAAAGAGATGTTGCCAAGACTAGTAAGATGATGAGTGAGAGCCACCTAGAACTTCTTAAGAGAACACAAAAGGTGCTGCCATTAACTGTCAGAATTATACACATATATTCTTTTTAAAAATGTTTTTAAACATTGATGGACTTTTATTTTACTCATATATTTGTATGTGGTGCTGAGAATCAAACCCAGTGCCTCACACATGCTAGGCAAGAGCTCTACCACTGAGTCCCAACCCCAGCCCACACATATATTCTTTAAGAGATTAAAAGAGAGAAAAATGTATACCTGAAAGATGGCCATCTAACCTCTGGAGTCAGGCAAATGGATACTGAAGAACATCGTGGCCCACATCACAACTACATCTGAGAGGACCTCAGTGTCCTTCAAATTCTAAGCTATAGCGTGGCCTCTCTCTAGTGCTTCTCCTAAAACCTCACCCTGTAACAGTATGAGCAACAGTATGTGTACAATCTGAGCAACCCCTATTTTAACATACCAGTATCAGCACATAATAATAGAAGAATTCAAAAGTACACGCACACAGGTTTTTTGGGTTTTTTTTAGTATTTCTAATGTATTTTTTCAGAACTCCTCCTCCACTCTCGTTTCCTCCTGACTTGTGGTCACTGGAGAGTTCATGTACTCTTGATAAATTGCTTTCTTACATCCACAGTGTAAAGGCCCTTATCATTTACCCGCTGGCTTCATTCAACACATTTACTCCCAGGAATACTTTGTCAAAGAGTTCGGGTTTCCTCATACTTCATTTCTTGCAGCTGATTTGTCTGATCTTTCCTATTCTAGTGGTTAAGTCAACTTTGAATAAATAGCTTTAAAAATTAATTTAACGTTTGGGAAAGATAAGGGATTCACAAGCCTAGAGATTGAAGTCTTCTCTCACTCCACAGGGCATTTAGGCTGCAAAAACAGCAGGAAAGGGGTATTATTATCCTTGTTCTTCTTCAAGTACAGCTTAACCATGCAGCCTTCTGATGAGTGGCTGATCTGCTTACAGAATCGAGTGATGGATTAGGGGAATTCTGCTCCTCCCCCATTTCACCACTCTCCTGAACCTCACCAAATACTTCTTTGTAAAATACACTGCTATGGCCACAACAACTATGAAACTGAGAGGATTCCTCAGGGGGGAAAAGACAGCACATCCTGGTTTTTAAGAGTGTGTTTGGTACTCTGTGTCTGCATTAAGTGTACACAGGAGAAGGGAAAACTATGTTCCAGTGCTGCAAAGAAAACTGTCACCCCTCTTTCCCAAATCCCTGCAAAAGTCTGGTGGTTCGAAAAGATGAAGAGAACTAAATCACAGAGGGTACAGAAAAGAGTTTAGTCAATTGTAAGAGCACAGGTAAAACAGGTAAGGCAAAAATATTTCCACCAAAACAGTTTTTGGAACTCCAATGAGATATTACCCAATTCTTCCTCATGGTTATATGCTATGTTAGAAAGAAGGGATACAGATATATATTCATAAATATACAGCAGGGGCCAACAACTTATTCTATAAAGGCCCAATACATAGTAAATATTTTAGGCCTGTGGGTCACACATTCTCTTTTTCAACTACTCACCTCTTATGTTACAGCAAGAAAGCAGCCATACATAGGTAAGTGTTCCAATAAAACTTTATTCACACAAACAGGCTACCTGGGCAGTTTTAGGCCCTGATATAGAGATGGAAATGTGGGGCCAGTAATAATGAAAAAGTCCTAAGAGTAGATAATGAAAAAGCTAAAGGGTACAGTGGTGCACCCCTATAGCCCCAGCAACTTCTAGCTACTCTGGAGGCTAAGGCAGGAGGATTCCAAGTTTGGAAACTTTCTCAAAATGAAAGATAAAAAGGGCTGAAAATGAAGCTCAGTGGTAGATTATCCTGGGGTTCAATCCCTGGTAAAAATACACACACTCTAGTTCAGGTAGCGACTGTCTAGAAGATGAATCATAGATGAGGATGTGAACAATAAACTGCTTAACCTGGAGATACCAGCTGTAATTTTCAGCATGATTGTGACAATATTTGGGAAGGTATCCTTGAAGGCACAAAGGCTAAGCAATGACATTTAAGTGTCATGATATCCACAAACTGAACTGGGCTTTGGAGTAATTTCATGATCATCATATATCTGTGGAGCATTTGGTTCTGAATCTTGTAGTGTCAGGAACATGAGTTAGGTCAAAGGGGTGAGAAAGAATCAGGGCAATAACTTTTTCCTCAGGATGGAGTGGGGAAAGATGTCACCTATTTTAATATTTATAGTTTTAAACATTTCCTAAAATTTTTTTATACCCAAAGTGTTACCATGATTCCATTTCCAAATGAAATCTCAACCAGAAGTTGGGTACAAAAAATATATATAAAAGTGAGTTTCTCTTAGTAAAGTTAGAGTGAGTATGGATTAAAGAACTTCCAATTATTTGATACTCCCCTCTTCAACTTGCTTAAGTATCTCACTAGGGCAGACCTTGGAAACATGAAAAGCACTTTTCTATACAGTACGACAAATGTCAATTGTTCTGCCTGCTCTGTGTTCATTCTCCTTCAATCTGGGGATAGAAACTAGAATTCTCCTTAGGAAATTTCTCCCCTCAGCCTTAGAATCAATATTTCATAGAACTGAGTAATATTTAGCCAGTTCTGGAAAACAAGTATATCCCTGCCTCCTGGAATCAAGAATGGTTCAAGAATAGGCAAGTGACCAAAGTCTAGAAAGTGAGACTGAATCCAGGATTTTAGTTAGAAATGCTGAGAATTTCTTCTTTTTTCTCTTAAACTTTTAGCTAACAAATACACATTGAGAATGTGTATCAACTAGGCTACAAAATGATCTAAAAAAAGATCAACTACTCATAATATTAAACAATATTGTTTGATCCAGAAGATACGACAGTGTCTTAGGTTGATACTATCACTAGAATATTCAGTTACATTAAAAAACATAATCCCTCTCTCTTTCCTTGAAATACCATTTCCTTCAGCTACCATTCTCCAGCTGGATAACATGTAATTGTCATGCTGTCAGTGGTTCAACTAAAGGTGCATTAGTTTCAGGCCAAATGCAATTCATAATTTCTGCAATGCCTGGAATGAGGAGTATCCTAAAAAAATTCATATCTTATAAAATATTGACAAAGGGTGATGTTTTCAACTGCATTAGTAAAGAAAAATAATGGTGAGAGAGGCTAAAGGAAATTACTATTTAAGTATCAACTATATGACAGGTATCATTCTAGGAGTTCATAAGTTTAATCTCTTAATTAAAACACAACGCATTACAATTATAACCTATTCCAAGATCACAGGCTCAATGGGGCTAGGTAACTGGTCAAAGGTCACTTAACAATTTCACCACAGGTAAATTCTGTTTGCACAACATGTACAGATAAACAGTAAGAAACTTGCAAGTTTTCATCATGCTGGGAGTCCCTAACTCCCTGAAATCTGGGCTTCTTGCCCATCACTCTGCTGAGGCAAGCATTTCAAAGGTCACCAACACCTGCCTTACTGTGAAATCCAATAGCTTTTTTCCTTCATTATTCTCCATGATCTCTCCATAGCAGCTGACCTTATTGATCATCACTCCCCCTAAGATGCTCTCTTCCTTCATTCATGCATACATTCATTTATTCACCACCACCTATTAACTTATCACTGAGATAGGTGCTGTATGCAGATGAAAAAGTAATTTATGGTGTGGCCTCTGCCTTCAAAGATAGACAGATGCAAGTGATGTAAATGCTGTAAAAAGAGATGGTACAAGGAAGAGAGGGCAACTCTACTGGGAAGGCATTGTTTAGTAAGATAACTAGAGTCAGCAGGTGAGAAAGGAGGTGAGCAACACAGACTGCAGTGCGTCAGAACCACTTGGACTGCCTGCTAAAACAGATTGCTGGGCCATCTCCTCCACAGCTTCTGCTTCAGAGAGTCTGAGATGTGAGCCGAGAATCTGCATTGCTAACACA